TAAAATGTTTAGGGGAACGGTACACGAAGTAATGCTTATAGTCTAAGATCCGAACCTAAGTCGACCTTCACCGAGCTGATAATAGAACGAAATATATTTTATCATGAATTTAGTATATTAGAAAACATATTAAAAATGGGTTGCCTAAAAAAATCCTGGGCAGACTATTTTTAATTATTTTTCGAAAAATTATTTTTAATTAAATGTTGCAACATCAGGATAATAAAAAAATTGTGTCCTGACTGAAAGTATGAAACGTATAGAATGTGCAGCCGTTGGGGTGTCTACTATTTACCTGGGCGAACTACTGGGTTGTCAGGTAAACACAGGTATATCGATGCCAGTTACTTTCACTGGATTGGATAATTTAAAAAAATGTATATCATCATAAGCGCTGTTTAATTGCGAACACGTTGATATAGGGTTGTCTGCGAAAATTCCGGTCCGATTAGGGGTTTTTAATTTCAACGCGCGTGGAAGTGTGTGACAGAGAGATCCGAGGTAAGTATAATGTGTGATAATAAAGGACCCAACATCGCAGTCGCTTGTGATGGGACCCTGAATAGTAGAAAGTGTGCGAAGTCAAATCTAGACATAATGACGATAAATCGCAAGAAAAAATTGATTTGAAAATTACACACCAGTAAAATACTGTCTGTAGGTTAATCGAGGAGGTGGTATATTCATTATTCCAAATTTTTTGGGATTTTCTCTCCTCGTTTCTATAAAATAAAAATATGAATATTATTTCAATATACGTGTAGTAAGGACAAATCAGATGATTTGCCCCAAAATGTCACTGCGTTTAAAGAATTTTCCTATCAGAGAGCCTAAAAGAAAAATTCATGTTAAAAACGGGAGCAGAACCGGTCCCGAAATTTGATATTTTTTCTATATACCTTTATTTCCCTTCTCCAAAAATTTTTTCAATACAAATTGTCACTGACAAGCTAGTGAATTTTTCTTTTAGGCTCTCTGATAGGAAAATTCTTTAAACGCAGTGACATTTTGGGGCAAATCATCTGATTTGTCCTTACTACACGTATATTGAAATAATATTCATATTTTTATTTTATAGAAACGAGGAGAGAAAATCCCAAAAAATTTGGAATAATGAATACACACCAGTAATTTATGTTAACCTAACCAACTTGGGTTTCATTGACAAATTCACATAGCAACTTCGTGAATTTTGTTTTCTCTTGGGTAACCACCAGCGAAATAAATCGGAACTCTGTTTGACGTATTAATGACAGAATAATATTTTGGCGTCCTTAAATAGTGATTTTGTGCTACCACAATAAGTCGAAATCAACAATTTATTGGTTAAGAATCCATTGGTGCCCATGCAAACTGCATCTATTATATACAGGGTCGCTGATATGTATGGAAATAGGTGAATATCTCGTTATCTGTTGTTGGATCTTTTTGAATTTATGTACTGTGTGAATTCAAAACGTGGCAGATTTGAAAAGGTTATAGCCAATGTTGCCACTTTTTCAGTTATTCCGGTTTTTTTATTAACTTTCTCATTTTGAATGGAACACCCTGTACTTTATTGGATTTTCAGATTCTCCTTGGAGAGCTGATTCCAGCGATCTATCACACTTGGGGTCTAGCGGGAATGATTACATAAGTATAGGGTGTTTAAAATCTAGATTTTCTCATCTATAGGATGTTTTTGTGTCGGAACTATTCCTTATCGATCAAAACCGCTTCAATGTTCCTATCTTTTCTTTGGATCTACAATCTACTGACATATAGAACCTACTCGCAGGCAAAGCTGTTCTGTAACGGGTTGGTGCCGCACATTTGCTCACCATTTTTTTTTAGTATCCAAGAATTTTTGTCCGAAAAACACGAATTTTATCATGAAAATATGAACAAACCTACACTACTGATCGATATATCTCACGAAGAAGTTCGAAATTTCACCTTCTTTTTCCGCTTGTCTTGGATACGCATTTACAACTACTTTCCCATGTTCTCCATCATTGGACATGTCTACATGTCAAAAACTCACATTTTTTCAAATTAATCGCTGATACTAGGCTCGTTCGTTTGGATTTCAGAAAAGTTTGGTTTCTTTTCCAATTTTACATGTGTCTAGAATTTAAACGTTCTATTACAACTTTGTTTTTGATATCTTTGAAATTCCATGAAATGTCCTTTATTGTGGAATTTCAACATAATTTCATTCAACCGAAACTATCAGCTATCGGGCTAGACCCATAAAATAAGATATAAACAAACTGTCAAAAAGAATTAAACAGATCCATAAGCGTAGGCGATATATGAGTTGGTCGCCGATATATAGTAAATCAGATAGAAATCTTGATCTGGGTATAATTCTCGTATAATGAACGGATGACTACAAGGTCAAGTACCGAACAAACTAAAAGAATTAATCATCATTACTCAAATTGTTTAAGATGATAAATATATTCCCCAAGTCAAATTCCACTTACCTAACACCAGGCAAAGGAATATTTTATATATTGTATCATCAATGATCACTCTCAAAACCACAAGGCTGTAAGCTTTATCTTTTACTGGCCGACCGCATATAAAAGCTTCGAAGGAAATTTTACAAAAAGTCTAAACAGCGCAAAAAACTATACGGCGATACACACTGTTGATTTTAATATAAATTTTATGTCTTCGGGATGAAATCCAGTGTTTTAAAAAACGTTTTATTTCAATTACAAACGATTAAGACAAGACATAATTATGGTGAATTTCTTCCGAGAGCTTCTCGTACTTGGATGTTTTGTACTTGCTGTTCGAAAAAGAATTGAAAATATCGAAAATATCGCATAATGCCTAAACAATGAGCTTTTGTTACTTACGCGATAAAAACATAATATGTGACATGATATTTATTACAAGGTTAATTATTTATATCCATGCGATAGAAGAAGAAATAATAATTATTATAATTCCAGAGGGTATCTTCATATAACATAAAAGTGAATCACTACGACACATTTTGCCAATTAATTAAAGGAATAACTTTGGCGATAGTAGATTGCTGCAGTATTTATTTTGATAACACTCCGTATAGTTCATAGAAAATTGTTGTAACCAACACGTATATTAAAATTTCGGCTAACAATCTTAATTGTCAGGTCTGGGCCCCAACCTGGTGGGCGTGGCCCCATCGCGGGCAGTCTACTTCTGCACCTACTCGCAGGCGAAGCTGTTCTGGAACGGGCTGCTGCCGTACATTTGCTCACTATTTTTTTTATACAAGAAATTTTGTCTGAAAAACACGAATTATATTATGAAAATATGAACAAACCACTATTCATCGAGATATTTCACGAAAAAGTTCTAAATTTCACCTTTTTCCGCTCGTCTTGGATACGCATTTACAACTAATTGCCCATGTTTTTCATCATTGGACATGTCGACATGTCAAAAACTTACATTTTTTCAAATTACCGCTAAAACTACGCTTATTCGTTTGGATTTCAAAAAAGTTGATAGTTTTCTTTCTAATTTCACATGTGTCTAGAATTTAAAAGTTCCATTACAACATTAAGTTTTCGATATTTTTAAAATTCCTCTGAAATGTCATATTGAAAAATGTTAACATAATTTTATTCTAGTAGCTTTATCATGCTACTAACTTTCAACCATTAATCATCAACAAAAATATGATTTTCTTCAGAAAATAACAATCCCCGCTTCAAATTTCTATTATGTTTGATGCGAAGTTAATGTATCATTTATCATTCAGGAGCAAAGTTTATTTAAAATCATGCCAACGTCATCAAAATATCATGAAACTACTTTAGAACAGTTTTGTCGAAGTTACGATTAGAAGATATGAAAAAAATAAATAGAACGTTCAAATTCGACACACATGTGTAAAATTGAAATAGAAACATTTTTTCTTCGTACACTTCTCTGAAATTTGAACAAATAAGTCAATTTTCATGGATTGATTTGAAAAAATGCATCTTTTGACATGTAGCGAATGTTACGTGACTCCGATCCAGTAGGCCATTTTTCATCTTCTTTGAAGCAAAAGTCAACGCCCAAGCCGAATTTCAAAATAAATTATTTGTAAAAATGTCTCCCATATGATGTCAACTTTATGAATGACACTGTAGAGGGGTGGGTGATTTTATGGTTCTCGCAGATATATAGTAAATCAGTTAGAAATCTTGATCTGGGTATAATTCTCGTATAATAAACGGATGGCTACAAGGTCAAGTACCGAACAAACTAAAAAAAGTAATCATCATTACTCAGATTTTTTAGGATCATAAAAATATCCACCAAGTCAAATTCCTGGCAAGATCACTTACCTAACACCAGGCAAACGAATATTTCATAGATTGTATCATCAATTATCACTCTCAAAACCACAAGGCTGTCAGCTTTATCTTTTACTGACCGACCGCATATAGAAGCTTCGAAGGAAATTTTACAAAAAGTCTAAACAGCGCAAAAAACTATACGGCCATACACACTGTTGATTTTAATATAAATTTTATGTCTTCGGGATGAAATCCAGTGTTTTAAAAAACGTTTTATTTCAATTACAAACGATTAATACGAGACATATGGTGAATTTCTTCCGAGAGCTTCTCGTACTTGGATGTTTTGTACTTGCTGTTCGAATAAGAATTGAAAATATCTCATCATGAAAAGATTCGCATAAAGCCCAAACAATGAGCTTTTGTTACTTACGCGATAAGAATAATCGAGTCCAGGATGCTCTGGTATATGTGACATGATATTTATTACAAGGTTAATTATTCATATCCATGCGATAGAAAAAGAAATAATAATTATTATAAGTCCAGAGGGTATCTTCATATAACATAAAAGTGAATCACTGCGGCACATTTTGCCATTTAATTAAAGGAATAACTTTGACAATTGTAGATTGCTGCAGTATTTATTTCGATAACACTCCTTATAGTCGACGGAAAAATTTTGTAACCAACACGTATATTAAAATTGCGGCTAACAATTTTGATTGTCAGGTCTGGGTCCCAACCTGGTGGGCGTGGCCCCATCGCGGGCCGTCTACTTCTGCACCTACTCGCAGGCGAAGCTGTTCTGGAACGGGCTACTGCCGCCTGACTCGCCCGTGGTGCATGTGTGCTCAGCTTCGTGCGCCGGTTTCGCTGCCAGCACATTGACCAATCCCATCTGGTTCGTGAAGACGAGGCTGCAGCTGGACGTGAACGGGCAAAGCGGTGATACGGCGATGCAAGTGGTGCGCAGGATATACGCGCAGTCGGTGAGTTCTAGTACTAAACGTCAATCACGGATAACTGAAGGAAATCGCGAATGGTGGGAATAATAACAGGCACTTGTACAGTGTGTCCAGTTTTCGATGCTTTTGTGCGATATCTCAGTTGTCTTTGGAGATAGAGAGTTGCGGTTTTCGCATTACTGTCTTACTTTTTTGTGAAACGGACAATGCAGCAAACAGAATTGTCACAGCTCTCCATGTTCTTGAGATACAGGGCGAAATTGAAAATTCTCACTTTTTGAGCACCTCCCGTATCTTGGTTAGTATCCAACCTATTGGCAAGGTGAGAACGGGACCTTGGATAACTTTTTACGCATAATACAGTGGCGTACTCATTCTGTTTCCGTAATGGCTCATTTTCAGAAATTGAAGCCAACATTTTTTTGTTTCAGATGGGACACCCTGTATATTTCTCTACAATTCGATTCAGATTTTTTTGGCTTTCCGAAAATATATAAAAGTTGACATTTTTCTGTATTATTGATGTTTTAATTCAAAGATATTCTTTTACTATGCGTTTTCGCAAGTAGGCCGTTGTGACTCAGTAGAAAACAAAGTCGTTTATAGCTGTCAATAGATGTTGACATGAACACTCATCAAGTTTTCATGCTATACTGTGTTTTCAAATGGAACATACATATATAGTTCAATTCAGATTTTCAAAAGCTCTCCGGAAATATTCAATAGTCACACACTTTTTTAATTAATAATACTTTAATTCAAAATTTGACTATCAACATGTTCATAAAGTCTTTTCCAATTATCATAAATATTGTTCAAAATTTTTACCGTTTTCGCTTATAGCAATTTCACAAAATTTTCTGATTCTTTTAAAAGCATTTTGAAGCATAAATGGACGGCCCCGCAAATATCGGAAAGCAGAATGCGTGGCTTCTCTAAGTTCTTCCATTAAACGATGTTGTTGTAAATCTTGTCTTTCAGAAAAATTAATCGACGTCCCGCATCCCCAGGATGCAAATGCTGTACGATTTGTAATTTATATGGTGTGAATTTATTTTTCTTCAACATTTTTTGTACCCGGCTCTTGACCACACCGACTTCTCGTTCAATAACTCGACATGAACTTGAAGGCGCTGCTTTTACGAAAGCTAAAACGTTGATTTCGTCCGTTTCAGGATTTCCTTTGTGATAGAGTTTTGGTCGAGGCTGTTTGAAAGCTCCATACTCTGATAAATTTGTCTTCATCCGGGAAAAAGTATCAGAAGAAGGCTGCCTCCTTTCCGGATACCTATATCAGTAATTATAATATATGGATATATAACTTCATAAGCACAAATAATTTATGTTAACATACCTTCCGGAGTATAATTCTGAAGCATTATGTGAGTTTTCATTGCATTGTATGAAACAAACTAACATATCATATTTTTCATAATTTTGATACAGTGCTGCCATCGTTTGAATCGCAGAAAAATACGAAAATTTAACAAATCACGAGTGTGAAACTCTTGAAAACACAGTATAGCATGAAAACTTGATGAGCGTCCATGTCAACAACTATTGACAGGTATAAACAACTTTGTTTTCTACTGAGTCACCACGGCCTACTTGCGAAAACGCATAGTAAAAGAAAATCTTTGAATTAAAACATCAATAATATAGAAAAATGTCAACTATTATATGTTTCTGAAAGCCAAAAAAAATCTGAATCGAAATGTAAAGAAATATACAGGTGTCCCATTTGAAAAAGAAAATGTTGGCTTCAATTTCTGAAAATGGGCCATTACGGAAACAGAATGAGTACGCCACTGTATTATGCGTAAAAAGTTATACAAGGTCCCGTTCTCACCTTGCCAATAAGTTGGATACTAACCAAGATACGGGAGGTGCTCAAGAAGTGAGAATTTTCAATTTCGCCCTGTATCTCAAGAACATGTAGAGCTGTGACAATTCTGTTTGTGTCATTGTCCGTTTCACAAAAAAGTAAGACAGTAATGCGAAAACCGCAACTCTCTATTCTCTATCTCCAAAGAACACTGAGATATCGCACAAAAGCATCGAAAACTGGACACACTGTACATTTGCGGGTGAACGCGTAGACTAAGTAACAATGGACATCGCGATTCTTTCATCATTCATTGAACAGTATACGCCAACAATCCGAAAACGCCAAACACAAATGAATTGATGAAATTCGCGAATGGTGGGGATAATGACTGACACTTATAGATTTGTGGGTGAGTACTCAGGGTACTAAAGGCCAAACACAAATGAAGGAATAGAATCGCGAATGGTGAAGATCATAACAGACACTTGTATGTACACTGTACAGGGTGATTGTCAATATTTCACTCAATTGGTATCTTGGTTAATATTGGTGTTACAGAAACGTTCAAATGGGCAAATATTGAATATTTTTTATGTGCATTTGAAATTTAGTATTAGAAAATGCAAAAAAGCGTAAACCTGAAAATTTCACATGAACTAGTATTTTTTAAATGGAACCCCCTGTATTGTATTGTCCTTATCTATAAAGCACTTTTGATTTCAAATACTCAGTGTTTCTAACTTTCAATGGAAGAATTCATGTGTCTTACGTAATTGTGAGTTAAATTTTGCAGGGAGCGAGAGATATACCGAAAATTCATACTATGACCAAGTGTTATCATCTTTAGTGATATACACCGCTCATAAACAGCGATGGAACTATCCACTAAATTAAGAAAAATTGAAAGGCCAACCATAACTCCCACCAAGACCACTATAAATATGCTTGGTATTACCATCAGCAATATTCTCATAGGAAAATCATGCCCGATCCATCGCAAAAGCTGCTTCACAAAAACTCGGATTTTTATTCTGTCCGAAAATACACTTTTCTCCTCAGCTTCCAATGATCTACAAAGCGCAGATACGGCCAGTTTCAGAATACTGTTCTCATGTATGGGGCTCAGCACCCAAACATACGCTGATGCTCTTAGATTTCATTCAGAGAAGATCCATTCGCGTGGAGGGTGATGCCACACTCACCAACTCTTTGACCCCATTAGAAGACCAAAGAAAAGTCGGCCACCCTTTACTATCCATTGAATCCCTGCTAAAATTCCATCACTAGCAATACCAGTAAGACGAACTCGACAGGCCCAGTCAGCACATCCCTTCCCTTGAAAAATGTCGAAGAACATTTTACCAAAACTCGTTCGTCTATAGAACGGCTAAGCTTTGGAATTATTTGCCCAAGAAGTATTCCCAAGAACTTATAACCTCCAAAAGTTCAAAAAAATACCAATACTCGCCTTCTCTCCCTATTTTCCCCAGGTACGCCCGATGTTTCAACAAACATTATAGGAATTTTAGGAATTTCCTTTCGTGCGATCCAATAGATAAAAAAAGGTATATTAAGGAACTCTAGGCACGGCTACCTATTGAAACATACGCTATCATGTGAGCATGTCTTACTCTTAACGTTTTTTTTTTCTCGTTTCAGGGCTTTCTGGGCTTCTACAAAGGCATAACCGCCTCTTACATGGGCATAACCGAGACGATAGTCCACTTCGTGATATACGAGGCGATCAAAGCGGAGCTGATGGCGCACCGATCGCACGTTAGCGACGAAAAGAGCTCAAAGGACTTCCTGGAGTTCATGATGGCGGGCGCCATTTCCAAGACAGTTGCTTCTTGCATCGCTTATCCCCACGAAGTGGCCAGAACGCGCTTGAGGGAGGAGGGAAACAAGTACACGGGGTTCTGGCAATCATTGGGGTTGGTTTTCAAAGAGGAGGGCGTTCGAGGGATATACAGGGGGTTGACGACGCAGTTGGTCCGGCAGATTCCTAATACGGCGATTATGATGTCCACATATGAGGCTGTCGTTTATATTTTGACGACTAGGTTCAATACGGAGTTTTATGGAAAAGAGGAGGAACAGTAGAGTTCAGTTGTTTTTTTTTTGAGTAGGGATCGCTTCGGAGCCCATAGTGGAAACTTAAGTGTTCTTTAGCATACAAATTACTATCGGCGGTGATATTTGAGTTACATCCCTGGAGTTTTTGTAAGTCTGTATTATACAAACAATATAAATATTTATATATATATATGAGATAATTATTGAATTATTGCTACGCAGGGTGTCGCTTGTTTTCTGTTATTACTCGAGCTGATGTTAACGGAACTGAAAATTTGATATATTATAGAAAAATAAAGATTTATTGATACTTTGAATGTTTTCCATCCACCATCAACCTTTTCAGATTAATTGGAACGTTCAATTACCCTACTATTGATGCATTCAACAATTTTTACTTCAAACATCATTGTTTATAAAAGTTCAACACATGCTCCAATCACTTGGGTAATCCCCCTCAATGTTTTGACACGGTTTTTGTCTAAATCAAAATATCTTGTTGAATTTCAAAATTTTCACAGGAATTGATGATCGCAAGCACCGCATTTATGACAGATTTCTCAAACACATTTTTCAGATTGAAATATGAGGTTACCGCAAAAAATATCGAAATGTGTAAATGACATGATCAATATCATGTCCATCATTATACTGGTTTTTACCTTGACACTTGAACAATAAAAAAAAGTCTCTTGCTCGACCTACCCTCTCGAAATGGCCATCGTATGCGCCATATTCATGGTAAATTTCTAGAACACATCTTTCAGATTGAAATAAGATCACCGCAGAAATTTTTTATAAAATGTGTAAATTCCATAATCAATGTCGTACATTGATTGTTTTGAATTTTTCGACACTGTCACAATAACAAAATTGTCTCTCGCATCGCTTATCCCTACGAAGTGGCCAGAACGCGCTTGAGGGAAGAGGAAAACAAGTACACGGGGTTCTGGCTATCCTTGGGGTTGGTTTTCAATGAAGAGGAGGGCGTTAGAGGGATATACAGCGGGTTGACGACGCAGTTGGTCCAGCAGATTCCTAATACGGCGATCATGATGTCCACTTATGAAGCTGTCGTTTATATTTTGACGACTAGTTTAATACGGAGTTTTATGGAAAAGAGGAGGAACAGTAGAGTTTGGTTGTTTTTTTTTTGAGTAGGGATCGCTTCGGAGCCCATAGTGGAAACTTAAGTGTTCTTGAGCATACAAATTACTATCGGCGGTGATATTTGAGTTACATCCCTGGAGTTTTTGTAAGTCTGTATTATACAAACAATATAAATATTTATATATATATATATATGAGATAATTATTGAATTATTGCTACGCAGGGTGTCGCTTGTTTTCTGTTATTACTCGAGCTGATGTTAACGGAACTGAAAATTTGATATATTATAGAAAAATTAAGATTTATTGATACTTTCAATGTTTCCCATCCACCACCAACCTTTTCAGATTTATTGGAACGTTCAATTACCCTACTATTGATGCATTCAACATTTTTTACTAGAAACATCATTGTTCATAAAAGTTCAACACATGCTCCAGTTACTTGGATAATTTTTCTCAATGTTTTGACACGGTTTTTGTCTAAATCAAAATATCTTTTTGAATTTCAATATTTTCACAGGAATCGACGATCGCAAGCACCGCATTTATGACAAATTTCTGAAACACATTTTTCAGATTGAAATATGAAGTCACCGCATGTCTTGTCCATCATTATACTGGTTTTTACCTTGACACCTGAACAATAAAAAAAGTCGTGTCTTGCTCGACCTACCCTCTGGAAATGACTATCGTATGCGCCATATTAATGGTAAATTTCTAGAACCAACACATCTTTGAGATTGAAATAAGATCACTGCAGACATCTTTTATAAAATGTTTGAATTCCATAATCAATGTCGTACATTGTTTGTGTCGAATTTTTCGACACTTGAACAATAACAAAATTGTGAAATTGTGAAAAGAGGGAAACAAGTACACGGGGTTCTGGCAATCGTTGGGGTTGGTTTTCAAGGAGGAGGGCGTTAGAGAGATATACAGGGGGTTGACGACGCAGTTGGTCCGGCAGATTCCTAATACGGCGATTATGATGTCCACATATGAGGTATGAGGCTGTCGTTTATATTTTGACGACTAGGTTCAATACGGAGTTTTATGGAAAAGAGGGGGAACCGTAGAGTTTGGTTGTTTTTTTTAGTAGGGATCGCTTCGGAGCCCATAGTGGAAACTTAAGTGTTCTTTAGCTTACAAATTACTATCGGCGGTGATATTTGAGTTACATCCCTGGAGTTTTATTTGTAAGTCTGTATTATACAATCAATATAAATATTTATATATATATAAGATAATTATTGAATTATTGCTACGCAGGGTGTCGCTTGTTTTCTGTTATTACTCGAGCTGATGTTGACGGAACTGAAAATTTGATATATTATAGAAAAATAAAGATTTATTGATACTTCGAATGTTTTCCATCCACCACCAACCTTTTCAGATTTATTGGAACGTTCAATTACCCTACTATTGATGCATTCAACAATTTTTACTAGAAACATCATTGTTCATAAAAGTTCAACACATCAATTACTTGGGTAATCCCCCTCAATGTTTTGACACGGTTTTTGTCTAAATCAAAATATCTTGTTGAATTTCAAAATTTTCACAGGAATTGATGATCGCAAGCACCGCATTTATGACAGATTTCTCAACACATTTTTCAGAATGAAATATGAGGTCACCGCAAAAAATATCGGAATGTGTAAATGACATGATCAATGTCATGTCCATCATTATACTGTTTTTCACCTTGACACTTGAACACTAAAAAAAAGTCTCTTGCTCTACCTACTATCTCGAAATGGCTATCGTATGCGCCATATTCATGGTAAATTTCTAGAACACATCATTTCAGATTGAAATAAGATCACCGCAGACATTTTTTATAAAATGTGTAAATTCCATAATCAATGTCGTACATTGTTTGTTTTGAATTATTCGACACTGTCACAATAACAAAATAATTGTCTCTCGCATCGCTTATCCCTACGAAGTGGCCAGAACGCGCTTAGGGAAGAGGAAAACAAGTACACGGGGTTCTGGCAATCGTTGGGGTTGGTTTTCAAAGAGGAGGGCGTTCGAGGGATATACAGGGGTTGACGACGCAGTTGGTCCGGCAGATTCCTAATACGGCGATCATGATGTCCACATATGAGGCTGTCGTTTATATTTTGACGACTAGGTTCAATACGGAGTTTTATGGAACAGAGGAGGAACAGTAGAGTTTGGTTGTTTTTTTTTGAGTAGGGATCGCTTCGGAGCCCATAGTGAAAACTTGAGTGTTCTTTAGCATACAAATTACTATCGGCGGCGATATTTGAGTTACATCCCTGGAGTTTTTGTAAGTCTGTATTATACAAGCATTATAAATATTTATATATATATATGAGATAATTATTGAATTATTGCTACGCAGGGTGTCGCTTGTTTTCTGTTATTACTCGAGCTGATGTTAACGGAACTGAAAATTTGATATATTATAGAAAAATAAAATTTTATTGGTATTATGATTGTTTCCCATTCACCACAAACCTTTTCAGATTTATTGGAACGTTCAATTACCATAACTATTGATGCATTCAACAATTTTTACTAGAAACATAACTGTTCATTAAAGTTCAACACATGCTCGAGGTACTCGGATAATCCCCCCCTCAACGTTTTGACACGGTTTTTGTCTATCAAAATATCTTGTTGAATTTCAGAATTTTCACAGGATTTGACGATCGCAAGCACCGCAATTATGACAAATTTATCAAACACATTTCTCAGATTGAAATATGAGTTCACCGCAAAAAATATCAATGAAATGTATGAATGACATAATCAATGACCAACATTGTACTGGTTTTTACCTTGGCTATTGAACAATGAAAAAAGTGAGAGATCCGACTGCAGAGGTTTACCTACGTTCATGAATAGGAGAATATATTTATACCGGAGTTGCCTATCAAAATGTGGTCCCATATACTTTTATTCAAAATAATAGAAATCGATTTTCTGCAAAACATTTCATTCATTTGTTTTTTGAATAAAATACATTCCACTTTACAGCTATATGTATCTAAAGAACTTAAAACATGATGATGGTTGCCGTTGCGCAACCTCTTCGCAGCCGGGTGTAGACAGGTATCATTTTGTTACATTTATAGGTTCATAGCGTTTATTCATAATTTTTATATGGAATGAAAGCTAATTTTTTCCTGTGCATGATGGAATAAGTCTGCCAATGCAAATATGGCCGCAAATAGGGGTTACCATCAGCTGTTAAAGGTATACAGGGTGTTCCAGAGTTGTGGTGACAAAAGCCTGGAAAAGATTCCTCTCAGCATAATATGAAAAAAAGTTCATATGAACAAGGTTCCGAAAATCCTTCGTTTCCAAGAAAGAGGGTGTCAAAATTAAAAAAAAAAGATTTTTATCAATATCTTGAGAACGCTCAAGCCGATTCGAATGAAATTTTTCTGGTTCAGTTACACAATTATCAGACATTTATTGGACCAATCAGATTTGATCCAGAATAATCAGGGGCGTACCCATCGGGCAAGTGTCGTTTTTTTTTTAAGTCATTCCGTGTTTTTTCCAGGTGATAGACCCACTTAAAATAAAACATTTCTGTTTCTTGCTATTTTCTCGTTTCCTGTTTCGTTTTCCAGAAAAACAACGGACAATAACCATATATACCTCGGCATATCTCTGAACTGAATAAGTAGAAATAAAAATGATTCATTTGCGAACATCACATTCATAATATTGCTGAACGTCCGTTTCAGTAGTTGTTGCTACCTTGCAGTAAGATAGCGACAATATCTGATGTAATATTACACATTACATTGAAATACTGCTGCAATATTGTTGAGATATTACTTTGCTTTAGTGGGAAGGATGTATATGTCTTTGAAAAACTGATCTCATTGATGGTCATGCATGCCGGTCCCAATTTGGTAAAGATTGCACGA